CTCACAACTTACTCAAAATCGAAGCTTGGTTTGTTTTTGTATGTGTCCACATACTACTGATCTTATTCAGTATATAAAAGCATGCAATTTTTCGAATATTAGGAAAATCAACCTATTCTCTTTCATCGATTGCTGATTCTTTCGAAAATCGAGTTTCTAAACATTTTTAAGTAATCGATTCCAGTCACTGGTAATCGAGATATTGTATTAACGATGTCGTAAAAAGCTCTTTTGAACAATAAATTTCTTCAAATCATTTTACTCCTAGTAAGCATACATATGAAGAAAAGTATTTCTTTTTTCGGTCAACCTGAACCGAAACTTAAAAATGAGGTACAATGCAATCCAAAAAGTTCTGAGGTTCAAAATGCAGTTCAAAGCGATTCAATGTGTATCAAGTAGTTTCCCTTTGCAGGTTGTACGTTTGATATTCCGTTTGATCTCCTGTTTTGGTCTTGACGTGCTTTTTGAATACAAATCTGCGAAATATGTGGTCCTTTCTCATGTCAAGTATGTCGCTTGCCACAAGTTTCCTTATTTCGTTGTGTCCAAGGTCCTCATATATTCGTTTTGACTGTAACTGTAGAATATCCCATTCTTACCTGTCCCATTATAACAAATTGTATGGATTTGAGCGTTCTTCGGCAGTAACATAGCATTGTCTGATCTCTGGCCACTAGACGAGAGATGTATATGTTCTCATGAGCCTCATCAACATTGTGTCAAGTACATCATGGAAGAGCTTAATCCTCATGTTTTACGATGCGAGCGTCTGGACAACATTAAAATCGACTGCGCTCTCGTAGTGGTTCTTACGATTTTATCTCGTAAATATTCAAAAACGTCCGTGGAAATCCGAGGACATCCAAAGAAACATAAAAGGAGATCTTTTGTTCGAGTAGAGTGGCTTTCCCTTCGGTCTAAACTGATTACTTGTTCGCACAGTGGATTTAAAATTTCAATAAAATTTTAATTTTTCGGAAAATCTATGTAAAAGTGGAATAATAATTTTATTTTAGAGTGGTTCAGATATCTGAATATGACTTCCTTCAAAGTACCCCCCTGAAACACGATGCGCTTCTGCCAACGCCGTTTCCACTGTTGATACGATCGCCAAAAGTCTTCAATTGTGAGGCTCTTCATTTGCCATGTCGTTTCTGCCTTTATAGCTTCCACATCCCCCAAGCGCCGTCCCCGAAGCACCATTTTGCATTTTGGGAACAGAAGTCCAGAAGACCTTGGTTCTTCGACTTTTTTGTTTTCGGTTCCCCTGCTTGCTTTTAATCCATGCTTTGAGGTTTCAGCTCCACATAGAATTCGTATAACGAAGACTCGTCTCCAGTAATGACCCGGTTGAGAAACTCCCCCCTTTCCTCTGCTTCCAATCAATCCTAACAGCAAGCAACCCTCCTTGATTTCTGTTCTGGAGTCAGAACGATGTTCGCGCACAATTCCTTCATTTCAAGTTTTTCTGTCAGAATTTCCTGGACGATTGTTTTGGCGATCGACAGTTCCTCAGCTATCATTGCAACTGTCGTCTTTGAGAACACAGCCCCGAATTAGTTCAACATTTCCCGCTGAGCTCGATGTGGAGGGGCGTCCTGTGCGTTGGTCATCTTTCACATCTTCTCGGCCTTCCCCAAACCTTTTAAATCACTTGTTGACGGTTGCTTCCTTTAACTTGTTTCAAACACTTAAAAACCTCACGACCATTCTTGCCTAGCTTTGCAAAAAGCTTGAAGTTGATGCACGGTTTCTCGAACAGATAGACCTCCATGCCGACGGAAGATAAAAAAGGGTTACTTTCAATAGATATAGACATATGTACCTACATACATACTTACTCGCAGAGCGATCCGGCTCGAACTGAGCATAGAGGACATTGCATAGTACATATACTATAATGATGATGATTCACTTTATTATTAACAGTCACTCCTTCTAGCCAATTAGGAATCTCAATCATTGTTGCATGCTCACACGTGGTACCAAAGATGTTAGTTCCTTTCTCTTTGTAGGTTTTTGTCATAGCTAGTGGTTTCAAACTGCCGAAAAGACCAACAGGGTATGCTTTACGCCATATGTGCTCGCAGAAATTGGGGGTGGCCATGTATTGCGATTCCTTCAGATGTATTTAATAATTGAAAATTTTCATCTACCGCGATTGCTTCGTACTTCCATGATCTAATATTGGCTTTAACTTACCCATGAACTTGCATGCGCATTGTGAGAAGGGAAGCGAAGAGAGGCGAAACCTTTCCGTCGGGTTATTTTACAAATAATCATTTACAATGGTGTCGCTAACTGATCTTGTAAGCAAGATTTTGAGGAAAGTTAGAGCATCTGACTGTCACATATTCCGGTAGTGAAGAAAGATCAAGTCTGTGATAAATAGTTGAAAGGGCTTATGTATATGTTTGTTGTTTTCGGTAAAATGGCGGCAAAGCTTTGACAGGTTTTATATTGATTTAGTTTTGGCGTGGCTAGGAAAAATGGTACAAAACCTGTTTTATTAATTCTCTGTCATTAAATCCTGAACCATATAGTATAAGAAAATATCCAGATATGAAAGATGAATGATAAAATTATTAGATATGCCTTTTTTGTCAAATAGGGTAATTGAATTTGTTATGGTTAAAACGGCATGAAACAACATATTCATAGAAAAAATGATCCAAGGGATATAAGTCGACCTAGTACAAGACATGCCACAATATCTGTTATGGTGAGAAGGGCATAAGTCTATATATTTTCATTCAATTTCTGCTATTTGTTTCAGTTAAAGTAGCTCAAGTGAACATGCTACTCAGCTTTTTTGCAGTAATTGGGTATTTTGGGTATAAGTAAACATGTTTTGATATGGATATAATAAGTTTTATTAGTATACACATCCGTTTTTATGAACATAACTCAAAATAGGTAAACTTTATAATAAAATCAACAAACAGTCTTTCTTAGTAATAGTAATTTTATCAAGTACAAGAAAAAACTAAACATATAATAATGAAATAAATTGAAATTAAGAGACAATGGTTTCTCAGTATCAGGTACGAGATACAACTAAGCAAATAAGAATAAAATATATATGAATGCTAGCATTCTTCATCATCAGTTAGATACCTATCTACATCTGGATCTGTTTCTTCCTCAATTTTTCAACTCATTGTAGTATGAGTGAACCTCTTTGTCTAAAGCAGAAACAATTTCTACCAGATTTTGTTTCTTCAAGCTGCTGATAGGCCGTGGGCCATTATAAACTTTTTTTAATTGAGTATCCTTTAGACTTGAAGGGTTATGCCCCTTTCTGAATAAATTAACCTCTATGAATAGTTCCTCTTCGTTCAAACTATTGTTGTAGGCCACTGTGGCATTCTTAGTGTACCTTAACCAACGAATATCTCTTATTTTGATTTTTTTTTTCTGGAGAGGTCCTTTTGTGGATAATTCCGAAAAAGCCAAAAAAATGGTCAATTTCCATAGGAAAAACAGAAAATTTATCTTTTTTGTTCGCAGTTCTCACTAATTGGTACCAATCTCTTGGAACGTGAATACTAATTGAAGTCTTTTTTTTGGCTCGCTCAATCACCGAGTGATCGATATCACACTCTAAATGCGTATGCCCAGGAACCAAAAACTTATGGTCAATCCTATTAACGGTTGCATGAGTATGAACAACGTACTGAAACATGTTCATAACAATAAAATTTTTATTTTGTTCACCGCATGTATCGGAATAGAAAATTAAGTGATCTGTTCTCTCCGGGATTGACTTGATGAATCTATAAATGCAAGATGAAATTTCATTTGCTCCTCTAGCACCCGTGCTCTCGGGCCACATAAAGTGACTCGATTTTCCATCTGAACAATTATGTATGGTTAAATTATAAGTTGGTAGCTGTCTTAGATAGAACATCTTATTCGATGTTAAATACGGTGTAGGTAAGACTTGCTGAAGATCAAAAGCGTAGGTCACACATTTTTCATTGAGTTTGTATTTTTCTTTGTCCAATGATTTAGATTTATACGCATTTTCTGCCTCGTTTTGATGTTCTTCTAGTAATTCTTCTATTTGCTTCTTTTCATTTTCCTTGTTAGAAATCGTATACTTAAGTTTAGCGTTAAGCGTATCACATTTTGTGCATGTATCAATCTTGGGTCTTTTAAACCTTAAATTCATGGTCAGATTTCTATAGATAGTAAAAGATACAGATTTTCCAGGGTGCTGTTCACAATACAACTTGTACATGATACTGATATTTAGATCAGATGGTAAATATTTCTTATCTGACTGTCGCCTGGAATAGTGACTTTTGTAGGCTGGGAAGGAATTTATATGTTTCTTAACTTCATTGTTTTTCGATATTGGGGAGGTGAGTTTTTCCCTCTCAGGTCCTCGTGGGTGATTCCGCTAGTTGAAGACAGCTTGTTTTCCACAGCACACCTTACGAATTTTTCGGTCTCGCCTAGGGTATTACAAAAGCACACTTAACAGACATTTTTTTCGTCACCTCTTACAAATAATTTATACTTGTATGTGTTATTCCTATTTTTTGTTGCTCTGCCTTCAATTTTTCGTCTTGTCACATTTATTTCTTGGACTTTTATCAATCCTGCAATAAAAGCCACCCTACGGTCATGACTTCCCAACGACCAATACTCGTCAAAAATTTGTGTCCTCATATCTTCCGTTAAAATATCTTTACATCTATTTCTACAGTTGTCCCTCAAGGGCTTAAGTCTCCTGGATTCAATAATTTTGCCCTTTATAGTACAATAACTTATTCCTAAATTACGTTTACTTTTGCGCTCTTTAACTTTCTTAACTGCAAATGGTTTGACGTTACTTCCGTTTTGAGTTACCTGTACATCATCATCTATATTATCAACCATTTGGCTACTATCTCCACTCTCATTTGCACTTTCTATATTTTCGTTTCCAGCTTGAAGAATTTCGTTATCCTGTTGATTAGTTTCTGCATCCTTGATGCAATTGTTTGTAATCAATGGCAGTTCTTGATCTTGTAGATATATTCCTTCAAATACAATATTTCAAGTAACGAATTTATACAAACAGAATCAAAAAAACTTACCCTCCGTTACCAGATCATCAATTGCTACGGATACTACCAGAGATTCATCAACACAAGGAAAATTGAGGCCTTGGAAATCCAGCGAGTCGAAATATGTTTCATGCTCATTAGATATAGGTGGATTGCTCAACATCTCATCAACACTCAACTTGACTCTTTTTTCTGGAAAAATAATAAAACATTCTATATATTTCATTTTCATCAATAACTTAAACTTGGAACGATTAGCACGATTCCAATTGAAGCTATGAAGTATACAATCGAATATCTCTGTCAACAAATGTGACTTACCTGATTGTCCGATTAACGATGTTTTTTCGGTCATTTTCAAATTGCGATTCTTCGTTTTGAGAATTGTGAGGATCGTAACTGTCATTGCCTGAAATCAAATAGGTATTTTGTCTCACTAGATCTGCGCCGCCGTAACCTATACACTTACTTGACTCAATCAGCCGTCTACACACATCTAGCATTCTTTGAGTTCGCCCACCACGACATTTAACCATTTTTAACAGCCCTTAATCAATTTTAGCTTATATTATAATGTTATAAAACGTAATAACTGAATAATTACTTGTGAAAAATGTAAACATCCTACACTTTGTTTTAAGGTTACGTCTAACTGAAAAGCGCGGGAACTATCCGTTTAGTCAGTTAAAAGGGCATAAGTAAACTTATAACTGTATTTCTTATAATAAGAAAGGCATAAGTATTATTGTGCCTAATACCTAGATGGCCTAGGTAGACATATGCCCTTTTAGTTTGAAAAATTCTTCATTCGATATTTAATTGAAACGGGTGACGTTGACTTATGCCCGTAGTATGGATCTTCTCCACATAGTATGTATATTTACTCCTTTGTTAGTAAATGTATAAATAACTTCATATATACATAAATCAACTTGAGCCCTTGTTACCAACCAGACTAGACGAATCTGGTGCTAGCTTCAATTTTTATTTTGACTTTTATTGCGATTCTTTCATATATCTACTTAACCAATTTTACTGAAGTGTTCTTATAGCCGTCCTCTCAACGAATACGTCAAAATGTCGTAAGTCGAAAAAAAATGACTTATGCCCTTTTAACTATTTGCCACAGAAGTAAAGTCAGCTGAAATTCAGTAAATCGGGGTGGGCGACCCTACAATATTAAAGCTTCATCCTGTGCTGTGCGCTACTGATGTTGGTAATTATGAGGCGAAAGGAGTGCGAAAGAGTCATGATGAACATGCCATTTCTTTGTGTCTACCATTTTTGCCAGCCGCGTAATTGGTGTTTAGGCGAGTAGTATCGCTTGATAAACTGGAATGGGGGTCGTAGTCGGCGCTTACAGGCTTTATAGGCAATATCGTAAAGTATAGCAAGAGGCAGAAAGGGTTCTTCTATTATTAGTAGTTTTCTGGGACTATGTATTCTGGATTAGAGGAAGTTCGACCTATCAGGATCGAGCTGTTTGTACATTCCTCCCTAAAGTTTGTCAATGTTGAATACTGAATCAGTAACGACAAGGTGCTTATTTAACTGAGGCGATAGAAAAAAGAAGACCACTATAATGGATTTTCGCTTTGACATGGCTCACTAAAGAAAATGGCGAACAGTAGGTTGACTCCGTACACAACTTAGCTTCTCTGAAGAAAATTTATCTACGAGGATGTATGATAAAATGTATTTAGTTAAACATGCATATACAATTGGTTCATAGTACCCACACATTACTGACCCTCTGCTAACGTTGCTGTGACTAACCTCTGCACTCTCCTACCAAGCACGGCGCGGCAGCCTCTCATCGCTTTCGGTAAGTCCTCGTAGCAGTGATGCGTGAATTGAAAATATTTCTCTAGCATTCGTCAAGTTTTAAGGTCAAAGTTATGATACATAAGATTCCCGGCACCGGTATCACGTATCTTCAAACGTGACATTATGCATATTTTTTTGACATTATGCTGTTTTTTTTTTGACATTATGTAGGTTTTTCTACAAGATGTTATCTTAGCACTTGGTTGTATGTGTTGCCTAAACGTCATGAGGCTTGTTATCAGTCTTTGGCTCTGATGTGATATAAAATCTGCTTCTGAGATGGCATTACTGGAGGTCTAAGCTGTAAGTTGTATGTGTTGATCCAAAGACGTACCAAAGAACAATTTTGGAGCGACTTTTATATTTTTTTCCAAAAGCTACAAAACTTTTTCTTTCTTGACATACATTACAAGTTATAGATAGACCAGGGATTAGCAGTCAGATTGACAGACTGGGGGACTGACCGATAGAAATGAGTGACATGGTGTTGTTGTGACATCTAACAACGTCATATTTCAATTTTAAACTATTTGAGATTACAAAACTTCTCTCGCCAGTAACGTGGATAGTGAAACAATCGCTCATTATTATCTGTTTCCTGTTCACTTTCCCTTCAAAGACATGTGCCTTACCTTTCTGTCCAATGCTTTATAGATGTAGATACTCTGGACTAATGATGCCATTTGCACTAATTCTCGCCTATAATGCTTTAGTTGAAGGGTATGTGATCTAGCTCCTTCCATTATCCAAACTAAAAGCTTATCATGACTTAGAACATAGGAAAATTAAGTAACAGTGAGCAAATCAATATTCCCAGGTACCTAGATAAAGTCGACGACAGAGCTACTGTGTCTGTTTAAAGTTTTTTTACTTCTTTATTGTACCGACACACCAATTACACGGTCATTTTATTATGCAGGTCTAAGCGATTATGAAAACTAATCTACCTCTATACATAACTATGGAACGACCTCAAGGCTCCAATCTTATTCCTTTGTCTATTTCCTCTTTATATATTTAAGACTTTTCCATTAATATAAAGGACTGCAACGTTCATCGCTACGCAGTCGACACGTATATGCTTTTCATATCCTACGTCTTCTTTTGCTTTGATCAACTACTTACGATCTAAACATCACATCTGGGCTGCTCATTTAATACTGAAATCAGAAATGATGGTTTTCGCGCTTAAGCAAAAACGGATTATAGTAGAAAGTCAATAATGTTCCTTTGTAAGCAAAATTTTGGGATAATAGCTGATTAATGAATTAAGATTTGACCATCATATAAAGAAATGATGTTCAAAATCTGGTAGTATTCTCAATTATATTCTCAACGACATTTACTAAATAGTAAGTTAGAGTTACAGCTGTGTGATTCACTAATAATTTCATCAGACTGCAGCGACCTCGAAATTCTTGTTTCCGTTATTATCTTGGTACTAGAAAACATGACCATATATGTCATGCTTATATTGGAAACGGAAAATTAAAACTAGGAAATCTTAGCATCTACAGGTATTATTCATTACCTTTACTGCAAATAAACAGCTGAAGTATCTTCTGAGTGAACTACAAGCATTTAAAGACGTTAACACCTTAGCAACGAATCTATCTCTCGTTATACCCTATCACTTTGTATCAATATACAAGAAGAGCTTTCCATAAGCTGCCGCCAAACATTACAACAATCGGCCAAGTGAGTATCGCAATTACAGACTAAAAAATTTCAAGGGCAAGCTAACATCAATGCTTTTTTATTCAACTCTTCGAACCTGGTAACAATATAGGTTTACTGACTGTAATATTTGTCCAATTATATTATACAATTACTGACATAAAATCTAATCATGTACATCACTTACACACTATCGGGCATTTGACACAAATTCTATGTATTGATTCATTATCGTATCTAAAGCACTATTTTTATTCATGATTGTTTATTTCGCCATTTTGATTCTCTGATTTAAAATTTTAGTACCTCACCTTACACAAAATGAGAACTTAATTGGTAAAGAAACGAATCAGGGCATTGACTGGGCTTTAAATAAATCAGCTCCACAGAACACGTGTTTACAACCCTGTCACGTAGCAGATACAAATGTGTGTCTAGGTGTAGTATAGTAGTAGTACAACACACAAATAAAATTGGCTGATGTTTCTAATAGAAACTATTATCGGAAGTTGTAAGAAATAATCTTCCTAGAATGAAGTTTCTTACTTTCCCGTCACTATGTTACCTAGCACATTTTTGGAAATTGCTACACGGATCAAACCCTATGCCTAACTGGCGGACGCCTGCTTTTATGGCTCTCCAACGACCCTCTGTCACAGCTTATAAAAAAATATTTACAAACATCACATCGGCAAACTACATACACATGTTTGATACGCACCTAAAGATCAACGTAGTTAAACATCCAACCACCGCACCGTTGTCCCCAACTTCCAATCTCCAATAAAACAAACTCCCAGTTTCTTACGGCTGTTCCTACGGGACCATTCAATCTTCCTCTGGAGCGTCGCGCCACGCCCATGGCCTGCTGCGCCTACACTTAAAAAGGTAATTTCTGTCCGATGTGGGCCCCTAGGGACACGATGACGTCACCTGTCTTGCGGCGGCAATGCTGGCCGGTGTTCCGTTGCGGTCACGCTGGAGTTGACCCTCTACTTGAAGGAGTGTCAAAGGGGTCAGCTGGGATTCTAAAAGATTCACTTTTTCTTAGAAGTATCCTGAAGACGATTTTGTCTAGAGAAAAGGGGAGTTTGCTAGGGGTGATGTTTGGGTGAGTGACATGTTAGATTTATCGAATAAAGAGAAATTCATATAGAGCGAGCATATTAGCTTAGCAGATTTAACATAGCACATTCTAGCCCCGCCTTGGAGGTCCGTCGGGTGGTACCTGCAGTACAGTCTGAGACCGTCTATCACCTACGGACAATCACAACGTCCTTAGCCAAGAGAAACATTTGCTTGGGTCGGGGTTCGAACCCGCGTAGCTGACAGCGACTGATTAGTAGACACATAGCCACCACGCTGCCGCGTGTTTTGCATTCGAACCTCATCATTGAGGCAATTGATACAAACTCGGTTAGGCGGAGCAAGCCTGGGCACTCAGGTTAGTTTGAAATTTGCACCTAGCAAATTTCAAAATAAATTGGAAGGCGCCAGCCTATATGTTTACAATGCAGTGACAACATTGTATCGGTAATAATACCTACCTTAATTAGGCTTGTGCCGCTGTTTGCAAATTATGCAAGAAGTACCATGTACTAAAATTAACACAATCACCAAACGTATCTGAAAACACTATCATTCATAAAAAAATAACACTTGAAATATGAATTTAGTGATAGAACTATAAAAAAACTGACACGTTAAGTCCGCTCATAGTATGCACTTTCATCCTGACTGCAGGCTCAGATTTTGGAGACAAACAAATCGTAGACTTACTCCTCCTACCTAATCTGAATTCGTTGCTACTCATAGAGAGAGAGACGGCAAAAAAACATAATTTTCCAAAAGAATTAATAAAGTTTTATGTCTTCCCGACTTTATTTGGGATCAAATTTTGTAGTTATAGGTAATATATCTAGGATCAAGGAATATATAATG